ATTTAAGTCTACTTTCCACAACAATTAGAATTAAATTAAAATATTTTGTAGATAAAAAGATATGACCGAAATAGTAGGATGGTGTCAGTTTTGGATAAAGTTTCATATCTCATTCATATATTTTTCGTTATAACTCAGATTTAATATTATAATATTTCATTGGAAAGATAATTTCAAGATCTATCCAACCATATAAAATTTGGATAAATATTAGGAGGCACGAAAATAAAATCTGAATATATTCCACTTCGTACAAAACAAGGATTCTTAAAAGGAGTAGTTTTATTCAATTTCAAACTCTTTGAAACATAATTATCAATTCTAACTCCATTAGGATTTAAAAGAACCTTCTAGAGTATTCTAGAAGACTATAATCAATCCTAATAGCTTTAGGAAGATAATTAATAATAGGCCCTCCTATAGATCATTGGGCCGCATATAAAAACCAAACCGGGCCCATTTTAGTATTTTGGCCATAACTTCCTCATTATTCATCGGAATTGGGCTTATAATATATAGTTGGAAAGGTATTTTCAATCTCTATCCAAATACATTATTATTGGACCCTTATCATGGACCAAACTAAACTGGAATGCACGTTTTTCATAAATAAGGTAAGAAAAGAAATATTTTCAAAAACAGAAAGAAGAGATATTTTAATAAAAACATCCTCATCACTACGCTTTTCACACTTTCGCTTTGTTCGATAATAAAATGACTTGAAAGGTATTCATCACTGGGTTTGGTTTAAAGGAGACACATTTGGGTGTCTACAGAAGCCCCCACTTTGACTGAGTTTGGAGAAACGCAAGTTTCGAAAACAAAAGTCAAAGTATTGATAGGGACGGAGAATGATTCAGAACGTTCTACGATCCTAAATCATTCTTGCAACGCCGATACCTGCAAAACTAGCGTTAGTTAAACAGATAAAAGAGTTAAGAAACGCGTATCTTGCACCGTCGAGCACACGTCTCTAGAGGTAACCGATTTGTTGTGACGATCTTCCGCAAACTAGAGAATATCGCCGGAAGACTGCTACGCCTGTAACTGCCTCCAATTCCGCCGTGATAGTCTTGAAAAATACCACTGCTTGTTGATCCTTAATGTTGTTATGCTTGTGCGTCGACACTTTGCTGCTTGTGAACCAGTATGTTAGTGCTTTTGCTGTGATGACAATCTTATTTTCTTTGGGAATAGTTTCCAACACAATTCTTGTATGATGTATGACAATCCGATTTAGGGAAAGTTGTCAAGGCTTCGTAACAATCCATCCTTGGAAATGTTTCCACGATGAAGCAACAATCCGTATCTCGGAAAATTTTCCAAAATCCAATTTTTTGAGAAAAGTTGCCATGCTTCGTAACAATCTGCCATAAGAATTTTTCTACGATCGACAATCCACATCTTGGAATATAACTCTTGAAAGCAATCCACCTTGGAAATTTGCCAACGCTATGCGACAATCCTTTTAGGAAAATATTGCCACAATCGACAATCCGTGTCTTGGAACATTTGCCAAAAAAGAGTCAATCGACAATCCACTTCGGGAAAATTTACCACTTGCTGAAATGAATGACAATCCATGTTGAGGAACCTTTGCCGGAATTTATGATGAATGGAGTCCTACAACAATCCTTTGGGAAATTTTTCCATAGGGAACTGGGTGTATGACAATCCAATCTTGGAAAACCTACAAGCGATGACAACCCAAACTTGGAAAAAATTGCCAAACAGAGAAGGAGCACGACAAACCACGCTTGGAAACTTTGCCATAGATGACAATTCAATCTTGGAAAAAATGTCATTGAGGAAGATGCACGACAATCCATATTTGGAAATTTTGTCAGTTGGGGATGACAATCCAATTTTGAAAAAATTGTCGTTCAAGAAGAATGCGCGACAATCCATATTTGGAAATATTGTCATTGAAGAAGAATGCACGACAATCCATATTTGGAAATATTGTCGTTTAAGTGCTTGCTTTTAAACCGATACGTTGGTGCTTGTAATGAGCCAGTGTTTTAGGCGCTTAAGCTAAGTGAGACAATTTTTTGTCAGGTCAATCACTTACTACGATTGTAATCGGGCCGACTACTAATCATATCAATTTGCTTATAGGGGCTAACTGGCGTACCAAGGAACCCGAAATTGCTTTATGAGGTCAAAATAACCATTCTGAGAGGCTTCGAGCTCTGTCGCTGCTGAAATGCTTCTAGCGCCGCGATTTGGCTCTGTCGCCAGACGCTGGGATCTAGCGCCAGGAACTTAAATCTATTGCCAGACGCTAGATGTTGTCGTCTGGCGCTAGAGTAGGGTCTTCCCTATTCTGCTCTTGTTGTCGCTGGGATGCACCTGTATTTATCTTTGACTATAGGACTTTGCCAATCTCTATAATTATCTTAGAGTTGACCCAATGTTTAGTGTTTCTTGACTCATTGACTTGTCGTGACTCAATGAACTTGACTCGCTGTGATTAACTCGAGGTTGACTCGACTCAAAGTGTTTTACACATGTATTAGACTCAAATCAAGGTGATATCATGACATGACTCAACGTGTACATGACTCGTGTGTGCATTGTATTGTGATCGTGGGACTCAAAAATGCAAAAAAAAGCAAAAAGTTTCCGTCAGTTTTGTGGAGGGTACCGACTTTCTCCCGAAAAAGAAAGACACGGAAAAGAATCGAAGTGAAGTTTTTTTAAGATACACGTTGAATGAGCTTAGTCAAATGTCATTTGATACTATCTATCAAGGTGCAAGGATTAATTCATCCTAGGCTATCTCAATTGTTAACTCAATGATGAAAGTATTTAGGTAACTTAGGCGCGGAGGCTAAGCACTTCATACTTTGTGATGTAATGATGAGTGACGAAGTATGCTTCAATGTTGTGTTAAGATTTCATGAAAAAGGGTTCATAAGGGAAGTATATATTTGGTCATGTATCTATGATGTGTGTGATAATGATTTTAAAGTTAGGCCGCAAGGGCTAAGTGTGTGGAAAGATATTATTTTTTTAAAAGAGTCAAATGGTGGTGACTCTTAGGCTAGGTAAGCTAATGATGTAAGGATCAAGCCCCCAAGTCTAGCTCTAAGTGAATAGGGATGAGCATTGGAGATCCCTTGATATGACCATGGTGTGAGAGTGTGTGAATGTGAATATGAATGCATGTTTATTACGGTCGCACCTCGATGTGAGGTTGCCTACGTATCCGTTAGGAATCAGGCCGAACGTAGCTCTAGCCGAACCTCGCACAAGTGTGTGTATGCCTCAAAAAGGTCTTTTTAAGGGTTGTAACGTGGTTAGGCTAAAGGTTGAAGAAGAAGGGGACAAAAGGCTCAAGACCCTAGATAAGCCCCCAAGGTGTGCAAACTTGCTTTTGAAACTTTCTATTCTTAAGTTTTCTCACTTTTGAGCTCTTTCTCTTTTTTTTCTTTTTTTTTTTTTCTTTTTTGCTTTTGCATTTTTTTTTATAAGTGCCAATCCCGATCATGCGATCTATCACGCACTTGGCATTCATGTTTCTCAGGTACGATACCGAGCACTCGATAAGAGACGTAATCTGAGACGTGTTCATATCGAAGACATTTTCATATCAAAGACATTGGAACACTTGCCCTTTTGTACACTTTTTTTTTTTTTGCTATTTTTATTTATTTTGATCTTTTGAATTCACTCAAGCTTTTTTTTAAAAATTGCATAAGTTGCACACTGCCCCGGCCCATCCCAAGGTTAGGTAGATGTAGGTTGAAGAAAGAAAGGTCTATCGTTAGACGAGGCTCAAAGTGGTTTATCAAGAAAGGATTGCATATTTTGAAGGGGTGAAGATGATATGATATGGCTACAAGGGGTGCCTCAAATCATTGGTATACCTTGTGCTTAATTCGACATGGAATTTTTTTTTTTTTTTTTTTTTTGTACAATGCAATGATCATATGTAAGGAAATAAATTCTCATTTTATTAAAAAAGGATAAGAAAGAAACTACAAATTTAATCTAAGGGAAAAGAAAGGTGCCTATGCTAGACTTATTAGGGAAAGGGTAAATAAAAAATAAAAAAAAAAGGGAAAAAGAGGTCATGAAATCTTGTCGTTGAAGTTCGCCTCTTATCTTGTGTTGTTTGCTTCATCATCACCCAGTCTTCTCGCTAGCTAGAGGCAATGAGATCTTGTTTTCTTCTATGAGATCTTGAATGGGATTTTGAAACCTGTAGCATTTATCAGTGGTATGACCGTTTCCTCGATGGTACTTGCAATAGGAGTTGGGATTCCATCTCAAAGATCGATTTTCTGGGTTGGATCCTCGGTAGGGCCAATAGGTTTGATTAATCCTCGATCGTAAAGACGGTCAAAAGCATCATCGTAGGTCATTCCAATGGGTGTGAGTTCTCTCCTGGGTTTCTTTTTATATCCTTGATTGTCCATGGCTAAGACACCATTATGGTCAAAGGTACTAACATTATTACTAGAGTGGGCGTTTTCGGAAGAAGAAGGATTGTCGTTCTTCTTTCCTTTCCAGCCACTGTGGTTACTATTGTTAGTAGCTTTTTGTTTTGCAAGGTCATCTTCGATTTCAATTCCGATGTCATAAACGGCTTTGAAAGTATTCAAATTATGTTGATATTTTAAATGCTTCCACTAGTAGAAAAATACAAAAAGGCAACCCCCAATTGGCACCGGTTCAGGCCAAACCGGTGCCAAAAATCGGCCTACAATTGGGCGGGGATTTAGACCAAGAACAATGGCACCGGTTCAGCTCAAACCGGTGCCAAAAATAAAAAGGCCACCGGTTTGAACCGGTGCCACTGAACCGTTGCTCCAAAAAAAAAATCGGCCTTTCCTTTATATATACCCTAATATAACGTAACCTACCTCCTTCTTTCTCCTCATTCTCTCTCCTCGGCGCTTCTCCTTCTCTCTCCTCTGATCTCGATCCGCTTCTCCTTCTCTCTCCTCTAATCTAGATGGGCGTCGGCGTTACTCTCCTCTCCTCCTTCTCTCTCCGACCTCTCTTCTTTGTCCTCTCTCCCTTCTCTGTCCTCTCTGTCCTCTTCTGTCTCGATCTCCGACCTCTCTTCTGTCTTCTGCCCACCACCACCGACGCCACTAACTACCGCCGCCACCAAGTCCACTTATTTTCTGGTCAAATTTGAGGTTAGTGCATGTTTCTGGGTTTAATTGGTAAGGGTTTCTGGGTTTAATTATTTATGTTATATGCCTTAATTTTTTTGGGTTTGATTGTTGTAATATTGTTCAAAATTGATTGGTGTAATTATAATTCATTGCCTTAATTTTTTTGGGTTTGATTGTTGTAAATTTGCACTTAACTGATTTTTCGAAATTTCTGGGATTAATTGATTTTCAAAAGTTTTGGGGTTAATTGTTTTTCTGAGTTAATTGATTTTCGAAAGTTTCTGGATTAATTGATTTTCAAAAGTTTTGGGGTTAATTTATTTTCGAAAGTTTTGGGGTTAATTCATTGTTTGTGCGGTTTTCTGGGTTTTCTATATTGATTTTCTCTTTCTCTTTCATGCATGAGTTTTCTGGGTTATTGTTTCTTGTTTTTTTTTTTTTGAGTTTTAATAATTTCTGGGTTTTAATTGATGCAGGTGTTAATTCATGCAACAATTCAAGGATTCAAGACTTTTTTTTTTGGAATATTGTTTTGATGTTGTAATTTTTTTTTTATTGTTTTACAATTTCAATTTCTGAGTTGAATTTCATTATAATTCATTGTAACTTTTTAAATTTATTTTTTTTTTTGTATTGTACAATAACAATTTACTTGAATATAATGTGATTTACAATTGTTTTGATGTTGAATATAACAATTTCGATCAAGACTCCGTATTTTACCATTTATTTTTCTTTGGTTCGTATTTCTGATGTTTGTTTGTATATTATTTTTATTATTATTGCAAGAAAAAAGTAAAAAAAAATAAAAAATAAAAAAACCAAAAAGGCACCGGTTAACCGGTGCCTAAAAGAGCTTCCACTAAAAAATAATATTTCGCGAAACTATTTAAGGCACCGGTTAACCGGTGCCAAAACCGGTTTATGGCACCGGTTTTGAACCGGTGCCAAAAAAGGGGGTAATTGGCACCCCCCCACATAGGCACGGGTTCAAACTGGTGCCTTAAGCCGGGTTTGAACCGGTGCCATTTGCTATTTTTCTACTAGTGTTCGAATACTTCTCTTAGAGAGTCTTGATAAACATCCTCACATATTCTTTTTCGGTGGGCACCTCAATCATCTTAGCGGAAGTTTCCCTCCACTTATTAAATAAAGAAGTAAAGCCTTCATTCTCTTTTTGTCTTAGCATCTCAAGTTGTCTATAATCGATTTCGACTTAAATATTACACTTGTATCTATCAATGAAAGCGTTCACTATTGACTCCCAAGTAGAGGTTCTTTCTTTGTCAAGGGAGAAGAATCATTGTTGGCAAACGATTTCAAGAGATAGAGAAAATATAGAGGGAAACACTTGCTTATCAATACCCTTAATACTCATTATTGTTTCAAAAGCTCTTAGATGAAAATAAGGGTTGTCAGTTGCCTTGAATTTTCGGATGTCGTTGGCATTAAACTTCTGCGGAAGAAGCTCCTTGTCCACTGAGACCCCTTGTGAACTAATGCATTGAAATTTCTAGTCACTAGATATCTTGCTCAAGCTTTCTTGCATGAGCTCCATTTGTTGTTGCTTCATAGGGTCATTGATTTTGAGGGTTAAATCCTTCAACGCCTCAGTCACGCCATTCAATTGACTCCTAAGCTCGTTGACTTCTTCTTGAGTTGCCATTATCTTTTTAGCTTTCCTCTTTTGACGTATCGGTTTATCAAACAGTAATACTTGAACAAATGTGTTGTCCTTGATTAATCGCCCTTCTCTCCTTGACCAAGTACTGTGGAAAGGGAAATTAGGGATATTCCTTGTTAATTATTTGACTCAAACTCTATTCAACATGCAATGGATGGAAGAAGGTAGAATGAAAGTTGTGATGTGGAGAAAGATGATGTATATGGAGAGATATGAAAAATTAGGAATAGAATGTACCCCCAACTCAAATGACGAAAAAAAAAAACCGACTCATGCATGAACCTAAGACATGGTCATGGTGACATACACTCAAAGTGTGTGCTAAGACTATTGAGTGTAGGTGACATGTTAAGACTCGTGTCATGACCATGTGGCTAGACTATGTGACTAGACTCAAGCAAAGACTAAGTTAAGACTTCACGTATATGCATCAAGCTGGACAGGCTGTGGCATTTTAGTCATAACTTTTTATTTGTGACTCTGATTGGGACGAAACCAACTCCAAATTAAAGATAAAACTCGGGGATACAGATCCATACAACTCGTAGTTATTCATATAACTCCGGCTATGACCAAAACAAGTTGACGTTTGTGCAGTATATGGGAATAAAAATCCGAGTTGACTTAAAGGAACTATGACTCGATTTTAGACATATTTATTAGATCAAAATAATTAATTAAGCAAAGTATTTTAGTCATTAATTATTTTATTAAGACTTATTTACAAGCACAAGTCAAACCAAACGGTTAGCTTAGTCACATAATAAGTATGCACAAGTAAGAGATGCACAAGTAGTCAAGTGGTCACAACATGATGCAATGAGTTTGCAACCTAACCATGGCTCTAGCTCTCTACAGTTCGAGATATGGGTTAGTCAAAGAGGGTCCATGGTTAATTGTCCGTATGCACCGCGCGGAAGCCTAACCGTGAAGGGTTGGCGCGAGTGGATGGGACATCGCGAGTTAAAAAACTCGCTTCCATGGTTTAGTGAATTCAACATTCTCGAATGTACCCTTTGTTGCACAGAGCGTTCAATCAGGTAGATGGAGCGTGAATTCCCAGAGGGTTATGTCCATATGTAGAACACATATGGGTTTCAGAAAAATGAGTAAAACTCAATCAGGAAGTAGGATCGAGCAAACAGTGCTAAAAACTGGTCAAAATTAGAACGCATATTTCTGGCTCGGTATTAGAAGAACTTGGCGCCAGCAAACAGAGGTCGGCGCCAACTTTAGCTTTGGCGCCTGACTACATAAAATGTCGCTAGGCACCAGAGTCAAATTAGTGGCGCTATACTCTGTTTCCTGACGCTAGTTCCTACATGCCTCAGCAGCTTTCTGTGCTCAATAAAATTATCCAGTTTCGCGCAGCATTATTTCGATCCTAATTGTGAAAGATATTCCTCAAATTTCCTACGTGTAAACATCCTATGTTTTAACTCATTACGGATGGTCTTTCCAATGAAATATTTTTTATGCATGTGACAATAATGTTAATCAAAATTACGCACATGAAATACTTAGAACTTTTCAAGTCTCATCCACTCATTCTAAATCATTGTCGAAATAAATTTCAGGAATTAAAATAGAAATCCTCCCCGGTGGAGTCGCCAAAAAACTGTAGGGAATATTTCAAGCATTATCCCAAACTTGAACCCCACTGTGATCATACACTAAAGTACGGTGGCGTCCAAAGGGAAAGAAGATAGAGCAAAAGAGTCGCCAACAAGTTTTAGAAACTTGTAAACCGTTCACGAGGTGAAGGTTACACCCCTTAACGATCCAAGAGATCGTTAACTCCAATAGGTCTGGAACCATGACTGGTAGTTCGGGGATGAAGGTACAAATCCAACCTAAAAGAGGTTGAACATGCCCTAATAATAGACCTCTACTTTATTGTGATCGTATTCATGTGCGCTTTCTGACTAACATACAATCATTAGGTTTACCCTAAACCTGTTTATCTATGTTGGTTGAATATTAATGCACAAACAAATCTATTATTGGAGATCTCTTGAATTATAATCAAATTAACCCTAAACAAGATTATTAATTAACTTATTAAGCGTGATTACAAGTACCAATTCCCTTAAAACATGCATAAAAGGTGTGATCAAGCAATAACAATAAATATCAATATCAAGCAACATAATAATAATCAAAATAATCAAAATCATAATAATAATAATAATAATGTTAAAGCATAATAATAATAAGATCCTAGGCATGATACTAACAAGATTAATAGCAAACCCTAGCATGTCACTAAGCAATAAAGATCAAATATATAGCCCTAACATGATACTATTAGGAAAGATAATAAAAGGCATCATAGAAATCATAATTGACATTATATTCTTTACCCTAAACATGAAACTAACAAAAATATTAGGAAGAGAATAGGAAACATCGCAGAAATCATAATTGTCATATTTGATATTTGAAATTATAGTTATTACCCTAAACATGATACTAGGAAGATCAAAACGCCCTAACAAGACACTAGTAATCATAATAACAACCTAGCATGATTTCTATATCATAATATCAATGCAAACAATTAAAGTACTTACTTGGATGCCTCGTACCTCTTTCTAATAACAAAATACACACATTAGTAACTTCAAGGAAAATAATAATCAAACAATCAAATTAAATAATTGAAATAGAGATTAGGGACCAAACCCTCAGAAATATCAAACCTTTCACGTCTAGGGAGAAGATAACTTCGAACTTGGCTAGGTGTGTCTAGTGCTAATGTATGAGGAATTGTGTTTGTAAAAGGGTTGGTTTAGAAAGAGAGAGAGAATCAAGAAATTCTTGATGAGAGTTGGTGAGAGAGAATTATAAAAGTAGAGAGTTGATGATTATTGATAGTTGTTGATGATTGAAAAAGGGGAGATATGACCTCTATTTATAGAGAAAAAAGAGGGTCGAATAATAAGAAAAGAATACAAATTCGAATCGAAATAAAACTCGATGGCAACAGATTTTGCGAATTTTATTTTTATCATATCTTTTGATCCATAAGTCCAAATAAGGAATATAAAATGTTGTTGGAAATCTCTTGAAGTCTACTTTCCAAAAAAATTAGAATTAGATTTAAATATTTTGTAGTTAAAAAGATATGGCCGAAACAGTAGGACGATGTCAGTTTTGGATAGAGTTTCATATCTCATTCATATCTTTTTCGTTATAACTCGGATTTAATATTATAATATATCATTGGAAAGATAATTTCAGAATCTATCCAACCATATAAAATTTGAATAAATATTAGGAGGCACGAAAATAAAATCTGAATATATTCCACTTCATACAAAACAAGGATTCTTAAAAGGAGTAGTTTTATTCAATTTCAAACTCTTTGAAACATAATTATCAATCCTAACTCCAATAGGATTTAAAAGAACCTTCTAGAGTATTCTAGAAAACTATAATCAATCCTAATAGATTTAGGAATGATAATTAATAATAGGCCCTCCTATAGATCATTGGGCCGCATATAAAAACCAAACCGGACCCAGTTTAGTATTTTGGCCATAACTTCCTCATTATTCATCGGAATTGGGCTTATAATATATCGTTAGAAAGGTCTTTTCAAGCCCTATACAAATACACTATTAACCCTTATCATGGACCAAACTAAACTAGAATGCACGTTTTCATAAATAAGGTAAGAAAAGAAATATTTTCAAAAACAGAAACAAGAGATATTTTAATAAAAACATCCTCATCACTAGGCTTTTCACACTTTCGCTTTGTTCGATAATCAAATGACATGAAAGTTATTCATCACTGGGTTTGGTTTTGGGGAGACACATTTGGGTGTCTACAATGGGCGTCTCTCATTATCTGCGTCCTCCGGCGCCGTAGTTAATGCTTGTGTTTTTTTTATTTTTACTTTGTATAGAACTTTGCCTTTATTAGACTCAATTATTAGACATATTTATATATACATAACATTATGATTTTATTTATTTAACATTTATTTTTCTT